CCTCTTAAAGTGGCCAATAAAATATGAATGAACTTAATTTTAAAATATGTAAATATTAGGGTTGGGCATAATCGTATCGTGTGCAATTAATCATCAGAAACACATGAATCAAATGTTTTTTGGCACTTGACGATTAATACGATTAATGCCACCAGGCAGAGTCACTCGCTGCTCCTCTCCACTTCAAATATGACGAACATTAAAAAAAGTTGTGTAATTTATTTATCTATCAACACAATTTAAAATTTGATTGTCTGTAATTTTGACACAACTTGGAACAGATTTTATGAAGAGCAAATCTTTCTCACTACATTGGTCATGTGACTAGGACATAAGGGTGTCCAGGGGATTAATCGTCAAATTAATTGTTATCTGCTTAATACCCCAATTAATCATGAAATTTTTGCCAAAACTGCCCAACCCTACACCAAACTGGAAGGAAAAGTACCAAAGGCTCTGCCAGACCATCCAGCAGTATGACGCTTAAGACAAGAGAGCAGGAAGACAGACAGCGGTAAGCTAACTTTAGTTTCTTCTAGTTTAACGCAGTGTGAAAGAACAAAACAAAACAAAAAAAGTTAGTCACTACAAATAATTAACGTAAGTTAATCTCATCTGTGTGACGTAACCTGACCAGTGAACAAATCAAATGAACAGTAACTGATGTCAGATCAGCCCAGCTCAGATAGAACCAGAGGGAATGTAAACAAACAAAATCAAAAAGAAACAATAAGTAGGTCCTCTGGATGGTTCTTCTTTAGTGAAACGTTTTGTCTCTCCTCCAAGAGACTTCTTCAGTCTGATGAGTTTCAGGTGAAATCAGCCTTATAAGCACTGCCTCCACCTGGACAAACAGGTTAGTCACATGCAAAAGAGGGCCATCACCTAACAGCAGGCTTGATTAGCTCTATTATTCATAGAGTCATGTGCCCCATCACCTGACCTGTGTCGTGTTATGTCCAGTTGTCCTCCTCCTACAACGCTGTCATTGCAAGTATGACTCCGCCCCCTGTGAGCAAAAGGTGTGAATCAGGGCCCCAATGATACCAACACAAAGAGGGAAAGACGGACAAAAATAAGGAGACGTCGAGCCCCGCCTGCACTCACTGCATACACATAACACGACATGAGTCAGGTGATGGGTCACATGACTCTATGAACAGTAGGGCTAATCAAGCCTATTGTTAGTTAGTCGATGGTCCTCTTTTGCATATGACTAACCTGTTTGTCCATGTGGAGGCAGTGCTAATAAGGCTGAGTTCACCTGAAACTCAGACTGAAGAAGTCTCTTGGAGGAGAGACGAAATGTTTCACTAAAGAAGAACCTATCCAGAGGACCTACTGATGTTTTCTTTTTGATTTTTTTCTACCTGGATTACTGAGATGCATCAGGATGTAAACAAACACAGCTCTAGTACTCACTTGTATGTTTACCCCTCTCAGTTCATGTTTATAGTTTGTTTTTGAGTAAATCTTTAGATTWAAATGTTACTCTGTGTTTAAATGTTAGTTTTACATTTCTCTGTTCAGGGTGGATTAAAAGTTTTACTTTTTTTTTACTTTTTTCCAACTAGCAACCTAATAGATTCCTGTTTTGTTATATTTTATAAATATTTCCAAGTTTAATAATGTGTGTGAAATCCACAAATTTCTATTAGTCAGTGTTTAATCCAGCTGGCACAATAAATTTTATAAAATAAGTTGTGCCTTTTTTAATTTAGTGTAAAATATTAGTCCTACATGTCATAATAGACCCCTGATTCAAGAAAAATGTCATGTTTTTAGGAAAATGGCCGCTTATCAATTAATTCTTAGTCGATCATAAGATCAATCAACTTTAGATTTATCCATTAATTGATAACTTGCATCCCTACTTGAGATACAAAAGTCGTAGCATCCACTCAAACCAAAGTCAATTAAACCTTGAGACCTACGAAGAACCAATTTGCACCATCATAAAGCCACCAATAAGCTGAATAATTTAATAATTATTAAGATCTATTAAACATATAACAAAAAATCATGCCGCAAATATCTTGTCCACAAACTAGTGATTCAGATTAATCTGAACTACATTGTCAGAATAATGATGTAATCCAAGTAATTGCAYGTAATGCAATCAGCAGAAATGTAAATCTCTTGTTGCTCAGCTGACAGCCTATTGTGTGACATGCTTGTTTGTTTGCATGTAGAGCTGATAAACAAGATCTGTTCATCTATAAAGCAAATGAACATTTAAAACTTTCCAACTGTGACAGATTCAGACGTGACAAATGCTAGCATCAGGTCTGAACAGGGCCTGTGTTTGTGCAAATATCAATGCTAACAGAACCTGAAAACAACCGCTGGTGATTTATAGGCATTAATGAGCATAATACAATTACAGATGACTAATGTGAGCATCGTTCTGTGTACAGCCTTTACAAATGACTATTTATGACCTGYCGGGTTGACTTTAATCCTTTGAATTTACATTCATATTGTAGCTCCGAGTTTATTTTCTTCTTTGCTTGATGAGGCTGATAAATATGCTAAACATATATTTTATAAAACTGGTCACGAGTAACTTTGCAACTATTCAAACGCCAGGTTTTCTGACCAAGTCTGAGCACAAAAACTCTTTTAACCCTCCTCCTGCACTTGGGTCAAAATGGTTTTAAAACTGAGACCTCATGAGTTGACAGATCTTGAAACTCTTAGTTGCTTCACCATTAAACAATAAAAAATAAAAGCATTAACACGGTTGTAAGTCCCTCTGAAAGATCCTAAGGATTTCATTTAACTGCAAATCCCCACATTTGTTTATTTTCTCACCGTTTCAGAAACCGCAGAGCACTAAAACGAACTGTTTTCATCACAAGTCGGCCGACAGTCATCGAATTAAATTACAAAGTTATGAACAAGCTCCAGYATGTTGACAGATCCCATTAAGTGGAAACAAACCAGCTACAACACCACCCTCACATTCAATTTATTGTTTTAATTTCTCCTTTATGGCCGAAGCAATTCATCAAACAACACAATTAATTTCATTACAATAAAATACTGAATGCAGAGGATTTAATTGGGATGCTGTGTTTAATCTATGCTCAATGTGCAGGAGTCATTTTGTTTCCCCAACAAACAATTGTTTTGATGATGCACAGGAGGAAAAAACATGTCAAAAGTCTACTACCATTTCAAAACACAAAAGAAATCCACTTTTATTTTACTACTCTGTTTAGAACCAAATTAGCTTACATAATAAAACATAAATAATTCAAGAAGTAAGCAAAAATGCACAGTTTATTCATCCAATCCACAGAACCGAATATGTTTAATCAATTTAATGGCTAAAAGTAAAAATATAGATTAGCTGTGTTCATGTGAAGTCTTATGAAGAACATAATTTATCAGACTACAGTGTTTGTAAATGCAGGGAAACCATCCAACATAATGCACATCTGACTATTTAATAAGTTGATCAATAAAATACTCAAATCCTAACGCACCCTATAGCTGCTTCCCTATTTCCTGTTACTCAGTGCTTATGGATTTTGAACATAAAGACTTTAACAGTTTTCCTGAAAAGTTCATTCAAAACCTATTTGTTCAGTTTAGCTTCTTAATTGTTTAATCACAAGTTTATGTCCATTTAAGGTTTTATYGTGCTCCACGATTTGACTTTTAATGCAATTATAATTTAATTAGTTATATAATAAAGGGAGTTACGTGAATCATTTTTWAAGAAAATAAAAATCTGACAAACATTCATGTTTAAAACCTTGTTTGGTCGATCGTAAACTGCAACAGAGCTTTATCAAACCTGTGCACTTTGATTTCCCTCCGAGTGTCCCGCATAAAAAGCCAACTGACACACTTAGCGTTTAAAGTGAAAACAAACCTCAAGGTGTTGACTGCAGGAAATACAGATGGAGACGGATAAAGTGAGGGCGAAACCGACAAGAGGAGGAGCGAATAAAGGAAAACTCCAGTCTGAGGGTTTCAGAGCGACACACCCATGGTGGTGTGTTGGTTGGTGGTGGTGTGTTCGGGAAGCCCATCATTACAGGGACTCACAAATGATAGCTCTGGTTAAAACACTGACTGACTTCAGCCTGCAGAGACAGAGCGACTGAAAAGAAATTTTAAGCGGCAAAATAAATGTCCATTTTATATCTTTGTTTTGTTGTTTTTTTCCTCCCTTGGTTAAGGAGAAGGCATTTTTGAGCTTGTCCGTACTTGCCCACATTGACAATCTCTTTTACTTTGTTCCAGCAGGCCAAAGCAGACATGACCACAAGGTATACACAAAAATATGTCAGGTATGCCTTCGTTACATCGATCAGATGATCGTAACAAACAAAAAGCAACCATTTGTAAACAATAATGTGCAACGTCCTGATGCATCTCAGTAATCCAGGTAAAAAAATCAAAAGGAAAAAAATTGTATAGGTCCTCTGGACGGGTTCTTCTCTAATGAAACGTTTCGTCTCTCCTCCAAGAGACGTCTCTTGGAGACTTAATGTGCAACATTAAGGCTATCAATGAGGCAGTTGTGGTCATATTAGATAAAAACTACATAACCAGACTTGTTCCAGGCAGGTTTCTCTGAGAAATCAGCCTAAGAAAAAAACGAAAGTTGAGAAGGTGTAAATTAAACCTTAACACAGGAGGCTGAGAAGTGAAGCAACAATCACTCCTGTTTTTACCACACCCCACACATCCAGACCCACTCAACAGGTTCTTGTGCTTTTGTACCTAAACCGTGTCTCCCTCCTTTACCTGACATGAGCACATAAAAAGAAAAGCTGCTGAGATTTCACATTAGACTTTTAAATCAACAAAAATCAAAATTGATCTCAAAAGTGAGCACAGAGAAAGTGACAATGAGCACCTGAAAAGAAGCGACACAGTCCACGGACAGTGGGCGTTTTCCAGGCACAATATAAGCGAAATGATAAGTCTGGACTTTGACTCCTAACTTTACGAGTTTATGAAGTAGGTGAGGTAACCGAGGACTTCCGTGTGCTCTCCCTCACCTGTCCACCTGAGGAAAACTGGCGGAAAAGCAAGGCGATGATTTTTTTTTCTTTCAATGCAAGAAACGAGTTAGTGATGACCCGATACGTCACGAACACMTGAAAGTCTCACATTCACAAACATGCTTGAATAACTACTTTGCCCTATGTGTAGAAATTTGACCGCTTACACGCGTTTAATAAAACTTTTCCCGAGTTATTCATCAACGAATCGATGCTAACTGGGTTAGCCACAGATGCTAACGCTCTGCGCTGACAAGTTCACATTGAAAAGCCGCTACTCTTTTTATTATTATTATTTCATGCAATGTTAATAATATAAATAATGTCCAAGCAGCAGCACCGAACACAAAACACCAAAACACAAAGCCATTACCGACTCCGGAGACACTTAGGTTTGTTTTCCAAAGTCCATAGGTGTTTGTGGCTTCAGGCCTAGCCGACTTCTTCTTGTACTGCTGCTGCGGCGGTACAGTCCGGAGGAGCTCGACCCGACACGAAGAAGAGCCGAGTCAAGCAGGACAACAAAAACACCTCGGTGCCGTCGAAGTAAACAGCMGTGGGGGGRAAATAAATAAATAAAACGCGAGCCCCGACCGACCGCAGGGCAAAAGATGAGYTGCAACGAGACACACAGAGAAAACACCCACCTCTGCGATTTCCGACTCCTTCCTTCCTCGCGGATCTCCTCGCTCCTTGTTGTTCGCCTGTGCTCCTCTTCCTCACCGCTGGAGGGAGGAAGAGGAGGGGGGGGGCAGCTGAAGGCAAGGCAGCAGGAGAAAACCTGTGTCTGCGTGGGCATCAGACAAACACATTCAACAAATATCTTTAATAAGTCACAGCTGCTCCATCCATACAAGTTTTCTGTTACCAAAATAAAAGCTCTCCAAGTGTGGAGAGGTTTCTCTTCCACACAATGGCCCCACCCATTTATTAGTCAAAAAATCAAATTTTACCTGATTAAACAGCTACATTCAATCGAAAATATGCAAAGTTATGTAAAACTGTTCTGTTTATTTCTTCAACTTAGTTGGAGGGTGAAAACATGGTGTAAGCATAAAGGTGTCTCACTGAGCTCCAAAATTTCTCCTGAAATTCACAGTAAGTTTTCTTCCTTATATAAGGTTTTATGCCACAAATGCTATCATTTTTTATCACACTGTTTTCAAAGTGAAAAACTTCTCATTGTCTCTTATTTACACACCCATCAGTAAACAAAATCATATAAATTACTAAAAAGTTCAAACAGATGTAATATCGCCATCTTGTGGTCACATTTGTGAATTGCACCTCTAAAACCAACAACTGGGCTTTGAATAACTGAGGAAGAGGAGTTCAAATATTTTAAAAGTCTCAACCCCATAATTAAAACTTGGACCTCAAGAGTTATAATTAGGGAAAAAAGACATATAGAATGTTTAATTTTTTAAAAKGCTAGATTAGCTAATTATTTTGTTTTAGTGGACTGTCTGATGCAACAAACAACAATCATGACAAGAATTTAACTAAATATATTTTAAATGTGTTTTTCTGCACTTTCCCCTTTGTTAGAAGACAAACTACACTTTCAGTTGTATATTTAGTAAATTCAAATGTTAATTGTTTCCGTTTAAAAGAGCCTAGATGGCATTTTTGTGGCAACTTTGTGTCAGTACATGTAGATTAAGCCAGCTAATCTGGATTAGAGTCAGAACCTCCTGTTGATGTCACTTTTGCATGTTGTACAGTGTGAGCAACAGATAAGAGGCACCAGTYTGCAGCAAAAACGGGAACAGAACCWACAAGATGAACTCACAGGAACTGAAATGAAGGAGTTTTACTGAGGTAAAAGTCACGTTTTCTTTATTATTTTCTATCAGCTATGTCAGTTTTAATTTGTTCTTTTATTCCAAAAAGTAAATGCTTCTGATTAAAATGAAAAATCACTACAGCTAAAAGCATAAAAATGTAATCTGCAGAGTAAKACTTTTAGTTAATAAGAGTAAGATTGTTTTCTTTCAATAAGAAGTTCAGGTAATAAAATGTGTTAATGTGAGCTGTTTTTCACTAAAAATTGATCCAACAAAATCATACAAAAATACTTTTAATTTAACTTTTTTTTGCAACATGTAGCTTTTAGCTACCGGTACTTGTAATTTTAGCTAAACTTGAGCAAGCCTTTTGCTACGCTTATTTTTTTGCTTCTGTTCTGGTATTTTAGCGTTTGGCTTCTCTTTAACTATTTTAGTTTTAGTGTATCCACTTGTATGCAGGGTTTTGCTACTTTTGGCATTTAGCTGTTTGCCTCTTTTAGCTGTTTGAGTTTTGTTTAATTTAGTTTTTAGTGTTTTGCCTTTTCATTTTTAATGAATCAGTTTCAGTCAGTTTTTAATTCACACAGTTTTAAYTGAAAAGAAATCCCAGTTTTCCATTTATAATTTCAGCAGCTGTTGTATTTTTCTCACAGAGTAAATCAGTCTTTGACAGGTGTCAATGACAGGTTTACAGAAAAAGTTGACATTACTTGTTTTWATCTTATTCTTACAGGGGAAAAAAGTTTCTACAGCTGGATGGAAGAGCTGCAGAGAAGTCCTGTTTAAACGTCTTCATCTGATGAAACCCCAGAACTGGAGGCTTAGTTTGGGCCTCTGGTGAGGAGAACCGAACCATGACAAGCTGTCAGGATGGTACCAAGCTGCGCTACTGGCTGACTCTGGTCTCAGGGATGCTGGAGTGTCTGTGCTTCGCCGGTGTGGTTTTTGGTTATGCTTCTCTGGTGTTTGTGCTGAAGGATGATGGCTACTTCAGTGAGCTGTGTGTCAGCAACATCACTGAGACCGGTGAGGAAACTAACTTTTTGACACGTTTATTTAGCTTTTAGCYAGCCTTTTGCTATTTTTATAAAACATCTATCTTAATATAGCCAGCTTTCAGTGATTCTGCATTAAATATTTACAATGTATTTTTTACAGAAAATACAAATTTGTTTTTTGTTTGTTTGTTCGTTCAACTGGTTGATTGTTTGTTTGTTTGTTGGTTTGGTTGGTTGGTTGGTTGGTTGGTTGGTTGGTCGGTCGGTCAACCAATCGATCGATCGATTGATTGGTTGATTGGTTGTTCGATAGATTGTTTGCTTGTTTGTTTGTTTGTTTGTTTGGTTGGTTGGTCGATTCGTTGTTTGTTTGATTGTTTGTTTGTTTTATTGTTTGTTTAATTGATTGATTGATTGATTGATTGATTGATTGATTGATTGATTGATTGATTGATTGATTGATTGATTGATTGATTGCAGACTGTCGTGGTCAGGACGAGCAGTTCTCTCTGGTCTTCACCATCGCCTCATTCCTGAACAACTTCCTGAGTCTGGTCAACGGCTTCCTGTTTGACCGTTTTGGCACTTTGGTGACCAGGCTGCTGGGAATGTGAGTTCAGACTCAGATCATGGTTTTCATACATTTAAATTTTACATTGCTGTAAAATCACATATTACTTTCAAAAATTCAAATTGAAAGCCCACTTTTTTCATTAACTCACTTCAGAGGACAAACTAGAAACTCAAGAGTTTGAAAGAAGTTTTGACAAAAAAAGATCCATATTTCAGTGACTTCAGTTGGGGTGAGAGCAGAAACTACTGGTTAAAAAGATAAAAGCAGGGAGTGTCTGACAGAGACAGAGAGATTAGACTCCAGCAGACACCTCCCACTAACACCAAACACCATATTTTTCCGTTATTAATGTCAGCATTTCTATATTTAACTAAACAAACTCAAGTCTAATACAGGATTGACCCAAAACACTTGAATCATGGTGTCAGAAACMATTTAAAGAAAGTTCAGATGTGTTTTTATTGCTTTGATACTACACAAAAATCAAAATAGTTTTTCTTTGTCCCTCCAGATCTTTATATACAACAGGAACCCTTCTTGTGGGCTTCTCCAGTGCAGGTATGGAAAAATAAACTAATAAACATGTTGAGTGGAGTTTGTAAAATTATAATAATTATTATTTTCTGTATTAGCGTTTTCCCAGATACTTTTTCCTGCTCTGTCCTGCATCGCAGTGGGAGGAATTCTGCTCCTACTCACTAACATGC